CGAACTTCTAAGAAAACATGACATTTGTTATTTTTAGTTCAATGGGGGCAGAGAGGAAGGTAACAAATATTTTAAAACATCATAAAGGCTTGACAATTTTTTTCATGCTTTAGAGGAAAATACTTATGATCAAAAAACCCTGTGAGTAAAATGTGCTTCTGTGTAGCAAAGGAAATGATCAGCAAAGAGGAGAGGCAACCAACACTTTTGCACACTTCACAAGATAGCGACTAATGTCCAGGATTTACGAAGAGCCTCAGAAATGCAACGGCAGCAAAACAACCCTGGGAAGAAGTGGGTGAAGGAAATGAGCAGGCATTTTTCAAAAGGACAAATTCAAATGACTAATAAACATAAGAAAACATGCTCAGGCTCCCCTAGTTATCAGGGCAAGACAAATAAAAACCACATCGAGATTTCAAGTAACTCCAGTGAGATTGGCCTACATTCACTAAAAACAAGCTGCTGATGTGGATGTGGGGAGAAAGGTACCCTACTCCACTGCTGGTGGGAGTGCCGGAAGTTCCACATTGCACAGAAGTCAGCATGGAGAGTGCTAAGACAACTGAAAACTGATCTGTCACTGAGCTGTCCCACTGCTGAGAATATAACCAAAGGAAATGAGATGTGTCCACAATAGTGAAGACATGGAAATGACCCAGATGCCTGTCAAGAGGAACGGATAAAGAAACTGGTATATGTACTCCATGGAATCCTACTCAGCCATCAAAAAGAAAGACATTCTACCATTTGCAACAAAATGGTCCAACTAAGAGACCATTACGCTAGGTGAAATAAGCCAATCTAAAAAGAACAAATATCATATGTTCTCTCTGGTATAATACAATCTTCATGCAAAATACAAGATCAACAGATATATGGGTAAAAATGTATGTACATATATATTCACATAGAAGAACTGCACAGTGGAGACCAGCATACAAGGGAAGATACGTTGCAATATGCATCTGTATTGCTGAATAAAAGGAGGACTCCCAGTGAAACTGCTAAATAGATCTTGGCAAGAGGATACTGGACTTTTACCATTGTCTATACCTACAATGTCATGATGCACATAAATAGCACAATAATGGACTTGAGATGGTTGCTGAGGGACTACATTACTGTAAACAATCCAGGGAAAACGGGGGGGGGGGGAGGGAATGGGGATGCGGAAGGGAAATCCCCGAGTCTGTGCAATTGCGTCATGACAAATAAAAAGTTTTTAAAAACGCAATCTGACAAGTGTTTTTGGCACACGTTTGCGAGGAGGAGCTTCAGTTGTAGCCATACTTATCTCCTCTCTGCACAGGGTTTTGTCGCTGGGGTAGAATATCCTAAGCGTAGCCTTTGAGTAGCAGCCTGAGTTGACGTTCAACTGCTTGAACTTTTATACTAGACCTTGAAACCTAAAGTAACATATCCCCAAAAGATTATTCTTTGATATTTCACACCTTTTATGTCCTGTATCAGAAAGAATCTGTCAAGGGTTATTAGTTTATTATGGGAATACTTTGACCTCATAATAAAATGCTTAGTCTCATTGACTGCTGTTTCAAAATCCTATTTCATATCTTTAAAATTCCATCTTTTATGTTCTCCCAAACGCATGTCTCATACCCTCAGATTCTTAAAGTTGTCATCACAAATAAATTCTTGTTAGCAAGGAATCTGTCTGCCCGAGTCTACTCCCAGTTTGACCCTTAGATGTAAGAACCAAGTCATTCCATGTGAAATTCACTTTTTCTGCCTTAAGAATGAATGTCCTATGTAAAATATTGGATGCAGTGTATAAAAACACAGTGACTTCAGCTTAATAAATACATGGCTAGTGTTAGAGTTATCTACATTTATTTTAATCTTTTAGATTGGATTGTTTGCTATTGCTTTATGTGAAGATACAGATCTTTCAGTAAACTACACTTTTAACTTTTTTAAAAAATGCAATCTTTGCAACAATTTTTAAAATTAATATCATCCTTTATATGCAGACATGAAAATTGAGGCTTAGAGAAAATTTAGCACCTCCATGCAGCTGATAAGTGGTAATAGGAAGCAGTCTATTTTCCAAAGCTTGCTCCATACCACACAATGCCCACCATGGTTATAAACTGCATGTTCTACCCGAGGGCTTCCTCAGCACCTGTTCTAGAAGTCTCAGAACCATGGCATGGTTCCCTCCTATCCCGGATCAGCCCAGGAGAGTGCAGGATCCACCACCACCTGGTGGAAGCCTGCTAGGACCGGTGCTGTCACATTCAAGGGTGACTTGAACACAAATCCTTAGGGCACATCAGGGATGAGCCACCACCCTCTGCCCTCAGCCAGGCCCCTGCCAGGCTTCAGGAGAAGGGGTGTCAGTGAGAGGTTCTCTCCTGCAGCCCCCAGGAGGGACTCTAGACTGGCAGAGAACAAACTGGGAACCTTCATCCTTGCAAAAACGAGTGAGGAGAGGGGTCGCAGTCCTTGTCTATCATCCCTTCCCCTGCAAACCACCGCCTGGGTTCTACACTGGAGGTTCACTTGGGTAGGGCTTGCGAGGATGTTTTTTCTAGCTGTCTGTTTTTTGAACAAATGAAGAGTCACGCTCAAAGGTTCTGGTGGCATATCAAGACACGGCGGCTTCTCATTGAAATTCTACCCAAGTGTTGATCCTACCCTAGGACTTCTCTCATCAAAGGACCTCTCTGGTAGCACTAGTGCTGATTTATTAATAAAGAGCCTGCCTGTGTCTGATTATTTATCTAATCAAGATTCACCTGCAGCTGAAGCTCACAGAGTCGGCTGCCAGCCTAGTGTAGCTGCCGCTGGAATTACAGCTGAGTGACCCAGAGTGTGTCCAGGCATTAAGGCCCAGAAATGGAAGCAGACTCCCCCAGCACTCCCTGTCACTCTGCTGCAGAGCCTGCGAACTGCCTGCTGGCCAAGAGATAAGACACCTACCTCAACGGCTGGTCTGCAGGGTTGGGGCTGCACCTTATAACCAAGCACACTCAGCATCCCAGCAGCAGGGACAGCAAGCCAAATGTCCCCATGGAGCCAGGGAGTGATACCCACTTTCTATGTGGCCTACGCCAACACACTTTCCAACACACTTTGAAGCAAAACTTTTGCATTACGTTCAGGAGGGTGGCTGCTTGGGGCATCCTGAACAGAGACCCCTGCCACTTGCTTCCACCTACCCGTCCCCTCAAGTTATGGCCAGGGTGCAAGGCAGCTAGCAGCAGCTCTCCACATCTCCCTTACAGCTAAGGCAGCTTAGTCTTACCTTGGGGGTGGCTGCTGAGCTCACCGGCAACAGACAGATCTTCTTAAGATCTCCCTCCCTGCGGACAGGAAATCCTCACTTTTTATTATTAGGCCCGGAAACCTCTCACCACCGCAGCCCCGCTGTACAAGGTGAGCTACAGGCTGCAGCGCTTATCGCCCACCAACGCCAGCATGCCCCCTCCCTGCAAGTGCTGCACCTCAGGCCCGGCTCTGTGGCCAGCTCAGTTGTTTATACACTTGGATAGAGAGAAGACAGCCCAAGAGCTTCCTGAGTTTACAGGTCCAGTCCCTGGATTCACACTGGGACAGGACGCAGGGCAGGCCCCAACCATAAAGACACTGGGTCCTCTCCTGTTGCCACCCATGTCTGGTAGGGACCTAACTGAGGTGAAAGCAGGCTGTTCCCATCGGTCTGTGTGGGGTCCCTGAGTACTATGTGACAGGTTCTGGGACGCACAGGGAGCACAAAAGGTGGCCTTTGCCCTTGGCAGGCACAGTGCTGTCCCACTAGACAGTCAGGGATGGCAGAGGCAAAGTGAAGCTGGGCACCACGCTGGGTAAAGGGGCTGCAGGGCAGAAAGCCACAGAACCATGAGCAAGATGGGAAGGCAGGTAACAGAGGAACGGGATCCTGCCACTGCCCTGAAGGGTGAAAGTACATGGTTGGGGACGACACACACTCTGTCTTAGCTCACATACGGGCAATGCCACTGCCCACACTGGGGACCACTCATGAAAGCTGGTCTGGCAGCGGCCAGCACAGCCTGGCTCCTTGGTTGGCCATGCGGATGGGGCCATGGGTTTGGATGGAATAAAGTCACTGACCAGAGCCGCATCTGTGACACAGGAGAGTCATCCTTCTGAGGATTCACCTCAGGCACAGGAAGCAAGGCCCTGGGTTTTACCCTGGTCACTGTGGGCTCAGGAGGGAAGAACCTGCTGACAAACCTGTGCTTCTTGCTGCAGTGGGCTGAGGAGTCCATACAATTGCCTTTCCCAGGGAGGGCAGGGTCCAAGGTCAACTTGCATGACTCTTCCCACCTTATTCATTTCTGAAGGGCAGGAAGCTTTTTATTTTTTTATTTTATTTATTTTTTTTTTGGTCTTTTTAAGCTCCTTGTCACTGAGCACATTGTTTTGCATCTTATTGGTGGTTCATGAACAAGCACGGAAGGAACTGTGAATCCGAGGATGCACCGAGCATTCGGGTTTAGGGCCTCGCTTGTGTCCTTCCCCTCCCTGGTCGGCCTGCTCAGGAGGTCACTGCAAACAGTTCACGGTGAGGCAGACATCCAACTCAGGTCATCCCCTCTTTCAGTCCTGAGATTCCTAAGGTGAGGAGATGCCCACTGGGTACCAGCACTGGATGTTGGGGAGCCATGGGTCTGTCGTAGAATCAGTCTTGTGCACGGACACAAATAGGGGCAAGGCCACAAATACAGATGACATTGCATTCTGACAACAAATTGCACAGAAGATATCCCTATTGCTTAGAAATTCTCTTAGAAGTAGCATCAGGCAAGAAAGAGAAAAGCCCAAGACCCAGAGGCCTGCCTGTGTGACCCACACCCCATGCAGAGGCCTGCCTGTGCGACCCACATCCCATGCAGAGGCCTGCCTGTGTGACCCACACCCCATGCAGAGGCCTGCCTGTGTGACCCACATCCCATGCAGAGGGCACTGTGTACGTTGGGGATTCAGTTCTAATCTCTGCGCATGCTTCTCTGCAGGTGGAATTGGCTGTGATGGTCGAGATAGAGGCCAAGTTCGAAAATGCCTTGACGTGGTGGAGATCTACAACCCAGATGGTGACTTCTGGCGGGAGGGCCCACCCATGCCCAGTCCCCTCCTCTCGCTTCGAACCAATTCTACCAACGCAGGAGCAGTGGATGGGAAGCTCTATGTCTGCGGGGGATTCCATGGAGCAGGTATCAGTCCTGTTTTAAATGTCCTGTTGCCTCCCTTTGCTGACCCCATCACTAGCAAATTCTATGGAGGGCAAGGTGAGCGCTGGCACAATCAAGGCTTTGATTGCCCAGTGACCCTGAACAATCTGCCAGCCTCTGGACCAAGGCTTTCATAGCCACCAAATGGACCAACCAGGTCCACAGTGGCTATACAGATTCTGCAAGGTCTGGTTCATAACGCATGTGACATATGGCAGACACTCCATACACGGTCATGGAATATGATCAGAGGAGATGTGGAAAAGGGAGAGTAATGCTGGGCAACTGGATCGATGAAGTTAAACCCAGGAAGCAGAGGAGGGCCTACCAAAAGTCTTGGGATTCATTTTCATCATGGCCAAGTAAGAATCACGGGACTCATGACTTCCTATTGCATAACTGCCAGTAGAATGAATTGGTTCAAAAGCCCTCCTAGAACAGTATTCAACACTGAACCTGCTTTCCATAAATCCAGGTGTGGAACTGGTTCACTATACTGCATGATTCATGATTTTCTAACACAACAGGCAGACTCTGAACCATTCATAAACCTGGAAGGCAGACGCCACCCAAGTTTGGTTAGCTGTGTCAGTGCGGTTCTGTTTTAGGGGACTGCTGAATTCTAATCCCACTAACAGGAGGCACAGGTCAGCACATAACCTCGGCTTGGAGCTCTTGAGGGCACATGCAGTGGTGGAAAAATCTCAGATTAGAATAAAGTCACCCCGGTGGCAAACACAGCCTTTCCTGAATCATCTCCATTTTCTTAAGATTTCCTTATTTTTATTGGAAAGACAGATATACAGAGAGAAGGAGAGACAGAGACTCCCCAAGTGGCCACAATGGCCAGAGCTGAGCTGATCCAAATCCAGGCTCCAGGAGCTTCCTCCAGGTCTCCCACGTGAGTGCAGGGTCCTAAGGCTTTGGACCATCCTCAAGTGCTTTCTCAGACCACAAGCAGGGAGCTGGAAGGGAAGTAGAGCATCCAGAACACAGAATGGAGCCCATATGAGATCCCGGTGCATGAAGGCAAGGATTTAGCCACTACACTACCATACCAGGCCCCACCTTCATTTTCTAAACACATAATCATATGCAAGTTAGAGAATATGGTTTTCATTATGAATTGCAAGAGACTCAGGAAACACAGGAACCAAATGCAATGAGTGGATCTTATTTGGGTCTTGATTGCAGCACATTTTCTGTGTAAAAATGTTTTTCAGGTAATCTGGGAAATTTGAACATGGGTAGGGCTGTTAAGTAGTAAATATTAGGAAATTATTGATTTTGTTTGGGATGATAATGGTGCTCTATTTTTATATTAAAAAAAAGGCAACCATTCTGTGTAGTAATAAGCCATTTGAAAGTAGTTCTGAAAAATAAAAAGAGAAAAAAGAAAGCAGTTCTGAGCAAAGATGACTGGCACTTGCTTTGATCTATTTCAGCAGACATTTCTTGAGAAGGAAGGAGGGATAAGAACAGATCTGTCAGCAACGGTTAATGGTGGGAGCCGGGAGAAACTGGGCTGAATTTTACTACCTTTACTGTTTTATTTCATTCTGCTTAAAAAGTTCCATAATAAAAAGCTTTACTTTCTCTCTCCATCTGTTCTTCGGAGGACTTTCTTAGGCAGCTTTGGCACGTTCAATATCATATGCCATGCTTTGGTGAAGTCAAGAATCTCTCGTGGCAGTAAGAAACCTGGCCCTGCACGAGGCCTTGTCAGGCTCCGCCTGGAGTCAGGAACGGCAGCCCAGGCACTGAGCACCCACTCTGCAGGCTCGTGGGTTGGCAGCAGGGGCACTCCTTGCCAACCCCTGGCTTTTGGGCAGAGAATGTGAAGGCCTTGGAGGGACGGGCACCATCGTGTCTGAGGTCCTGGAAGGAGCACTTGCCATTCTTCTTCCTTTATCCTCCTTTGCGGAAAGCTGAGCCAGAGAACCATGGTTTTAAAAACACGTAGAATAAATTCATGTGATGAGCTGACCCCACTTCTTGGCGCTCTGATGGACTAATAACACTTTCAGCCGACAGAGAGGGATTTACTACACGAGCTCTCAGAGCCCGTTTTAATTATTCGGTTCTAAAATGGCAGACTGTCTGGGATTAGCTGAATGAACTGTCTCTGGGACTTCATGCAAAACAGAACAATTATGTAACAGCGCGTTGTGATCCAGCAGTCCCAGCACCATCAGACCAAAAGCAGACAGTGAATTTTCTCTCCTCGGGTGACACAGACCTACTTGTCCCATTTATTAATTCAGAAAACCATCATCAAGAGATTAATCCCTGGTAATACAATTTGTCAATTTTTAAAAATGCAATTGAGGGCCTGGAGTCATGGCCTAAGGCTAAAATCCTCACCTTGAACTCGCCAGTATCCCATATGGGTTCCGGTTCTAATCCCAGCAGCTCCATTTCCCATCCAGCTCCCTGCTTGTGGCCTGGGAAAGCAGTCGAGGATGGCCCAAAGCTTTGGGACCCTGCACCCCTGTGGGAGACCTGGAGGAGGTTCCTGGATCCTGGCTTCAGATCGGCATAGCACCGGCCATTGTGGTTACTTGGAGAGTGAATCATCGGACGGAAGATCTTCCTCTCTGTCTCTCCTCTCTGTATATCTGACTTTGCAACAAAAAAATAAAATATTTTTTTTTAATACAATTGAAGCCTATCTTGAACAGGTAGTTGGGATACAGTCTTGAGATACTCAACTTCTGATGAAAAAGACAGACATGGAAATGGACACGACATGCACACACTATCAATGGAATAATTTAGATCTGGTTAAAATAGGAGTAAGTTGAGTACCTACTTCTGCTTCCCCACCAAGCCCCACTTAAAGCAACAAAGAAAAGAAGAGGGAAAACAGTAGTGAGAGAATTCTAGAAGCTAGAAAATAGGTGAATATGAAACTTTAGTCCCAAACTGGCATCAAAGAAAAACCCTGACTTGTGGCACAGATGCCCCAAGTAATCTCAGAGTTGGTGAGCCTGGGAGAGGAAGGGCAGCTGGTACAGGACCGCAGTTCTGCAGTGCGTCTTCTCCCATGAAGTCTGGCCCTATGGACAGGAGTCCAGGTCAGGCACGCAGTCCTAGAGACAGAGGACTTGGTGGAGGCCTGCACAGGAAGCCAGCAAGTTTAGGAGATCTCCTGCAGGGACCTGCCCAGATAACCCCACAAGGAATCTCAAAGAAAAGGAATATCAAAGAAAAACATACCACAAGACTTGCATTAGCCCATAGGAGTAAAGCGCGGGCAGCTAACTGTATAAAGGAAGGAAGGTCGCCATGCTCACTGTGCGGGAGGCTGGAGGTTCAAGCCCAGGCAACCCCATTGCTCTGGACCCAGTGGGGCCCCATGGCAGAGGAGCGCCCACAAGGGAGTGACCACGTCACTAGACAGGAAGCCAAAAGCCTCCAGGGGCCAGGCTCCTGCAGCAACCTGCTCTCAAGATGTTCAGGGTCCCCTGAGAGCAACCTGAACCCTCTGCAGGGCAGCAACCCACTGGCCTAAGGACTTCCCACCAAGCCTCACCTTTATATTCTGCCATCTCCAAGCCATCATCACTCCGAGATGCAGGCTTCTGGCACCTGGGCCTTTGGAGACACCCAAACCACAGCAGTGCCTGCTCTCAACAGGGGCCACACAGCTAAGGATTACCAGATCCTGGAGGAAAGCATGCCATGAAACACAGAAACCGAAATACCCACAAGAAAAGCCACCTGGGGGAGAGAAGAGACTAAGCCATGAGCAGCAGTCACCCCAGGAAAGGGAGGGACACCGTGTTGACAGAAGGGAAGAGAGGCCTTTAAAGATTTCTTTAAAAAAAAAAAAACAAAACAAAAATGTTACAGCAGGGATTAAAGCCACAATGGAAAACCAAACTTTGAAACTATAACATTGGACATATACGAAAACTAATATATTAACACAAAATCAACGTAGAAATTCAAGAGGCCCAGAATCTCTAAAACAATCTTGCAAATGAAGAATAAAGCCAGAACACTCACACTTCCTAATCCTGAAACTTACTTCAAAGCCACAGTAATCAGGAATGTGTGGTACCAGCCCCATAACAGATGTACAGGTCAGTGGACAGATGGTGGAGTCCAGAAACAAGCCCCCCTATTTATGGTCCACTGATGTTCAACAAGGCCTCCAAGACCACTTGCTGCAGCAAAGGAGCCAGAGTAACTGGACATCCACATGAAAAGCAAGGACACTGGACCACTAGTCTACAACAGGCAAATAAATAAAGATCATAAACATAAGAGTGAAAACAATATAAAAAGATGAGGAAAAAAGCATAGGCTTAAATCTGTTATCACACATGAAAGCGGATTCTGTGCACATCAGAATTTCAAACTTTTGTGCCTCAAAAGATCCTCTTGAGAAATGCAGAAGACAACCCACAACATGAGAGATTGCATCTACCGGGTCTAGAGTGATGACTCAGTGGCTAAATCCTTGCCTTGTGCTGGGATCCCATATGGGGGGTGGTTTGCAGCTCAGCTGCTCCACTTCCATCCTTCTCCCTGCTTGTGGTCTGGGAAAGCAGTATAGAAGGGCCAAAGTTTTGGGACCTTGCACCTGTGTTGGAGACCTGGAAGAAGCCCCTGACTCTTAGCTTCGGATCAGATCAGCTCCGGCCATTGTGGCCACTTGGGGAGTGAACCAGTAGATGGAAGATCTTTCTCTCAGTCTTTCCTTCTCTCTGTTGATCTGTCTTCCCAATAAAAATAAATCTTTAAAATAAAAAAGAAGATATCTGTAAATTATTCATGTTAAAAGAGACTGCTATCTAGGATATATAAATAAATATTAATAAGGCACATGTAGACATCCTTTCAATGAATGGAGGCAAATGGACAGTTGGCTCACCCTCAGCCATGAACTACCACTTTACAGTCACTAGTGACTATAATAACCAAGACGGATGATAACAAGTGTTGACAAGGATCAAGGATTCAAGGCCCTCAAG